AAAGGCTATGTCAATTTGAGTTCACTTAAAGAATGAAAGATACTAAACTAGTTGCTTAACGCGATGATGCTTTATTTTTCACTACACAAATGAGAACTGAAGTAGTGTAGGAAGCAAACAATCAAGAATCAAGCAAACAATCAAGTAGTGTAGGAATCAAGATAATTTTTGTCTCCCTCCCCAGAAGAAAGCAGTCTTGAAAAGGCACTCAGAAAACACATCAAAGTAAGACGCTTCAGTAGTTCTAAGCCTTCACAAAATTTTGTCCCTAGAGGTAATTATTAAAGTGAAGAACACAGGTTGTTTTTTTTTTTTTTTTTTTTTTTTTTTAAATGGGCAAATGTTAGTAAACAAAGAGAAGGAAAATAAGAGCTGATGATTTCATTTCTTTCCATGTTAGCCTGAAATAATTGGTAGAAAAACAATTGTGGCTTACTTATTACTGTAACATGTTATAAGAACTCTATAAAAATACAATTAACAAAAGTGACCAATGGATTCCAGTTGTAAGATAATCACAGCACTATAGAATAATTTGGGCTGGAAAGGAACTTCCAGCCCACCCAGTTTCAAGCTCCCCCACCATGGGTAGGGTTATCTCCCACTACATCAGGTTGCTTCAGGGCCCTATCCAACCTGGCCTTGAACACCTCCAAGGATGTGGGAATCCACAGCTTTTCTGGGCATCCTGTGCCAATGAAGCATTCAAAGAGCTGCTGTTACAGCAGTTCTAATGGTTAGTAGGGAGTAAGAAAAAAAAAATCTTGAAGGGTACTATTTTTTTTTTATTTTAAAGAAATAATTACTTTAACAAACATTTCTGAAGAGAATCTCATTAAAACAAAATAATAAAAGCTGAAAAGAATAGCTGCAGCATGACTCAGAATCATAGAACACCCTGGGTTTGAAGGGACCCACAAGAATCTCTGGGTTCAGCTCCTCACCCCACATAGGATGATCCAACATTTGAATCCTGTGTCTGAGAGTGTTGTCCAAATGCTTCTTGAGCTCCATTCAGCTCAAGCTTATTTCAGCTTATTTCAGTACCCAGTCATTCTCTGATGAAAAACCTTTTCCTAAGCCCCAGCCAGACCTTCCGCTCATGCAGCTCCATGTCATTTAAAAGTTCAGATCCAGAAACAGTTACATAAAATAAACTGGGTTTAGTGTTCGTGTGTGTGCTGTTTTGTTTTACGAATTTGTTTCACACATGAAGCATGCCTGAAGTTGCCTATCTATTTCAAACAGGGATGTTAATCCAACGGATCAAGTACAATTTTGCAACTAAATTAAACACTGTTCAACCAAACACTTCTCACATTACCCTAGGGAGGTTGATTTCTGCCCTACAGGCCTATGTGTAAAATAAAAAAAGGTGACAGTATTTCTCAATTTAGGAAGGTATTAGGAAATGCTTAATACTGTAGCAACAACAAAAAGAACCCTAATGGCTGTAATAACAATCCTGTAAATATACCTACACATATATATATATATGCATACACACACATACATACATACAGATGCAAGGGGAATTTTGCCCTGCACACCTATCTATACTGTTGATGCATGTCTGTGATACACTCAAGTATCTGTGGCAAGATACTGGGAACATGCTGGACTCATACCAGTCCTAACTTGATTAAGCTTTAACCATTTCTCATTCATTAAATCACCTTTGCAAATGGCATCTCATAAGATTTGCAAGTCTGATCTTCAATTGTCACCGTGGTTTCCCTTAAGCACAGGGACAAATACGGCCTGCTGACTTCATTGAGTTTTGCAAATCCACAATAAGAATTTTTTTTTGATAGTCACCATGAGTAAGTAACAGTAAATTAGTATTGACTTCTGTAACATCATGTACTCAGTTTTACAGAAGCAAAGTATGAAAATACATGCATGTGTGTACTTAAGCAATAAGATGATTGCTGTCAATTCAGCAGCATGGTATTTAACAAGGCACAGGATTCACTTGGAACCTGACAGTCAATTCCTTAAACTATTTTTTAAAAACAAAACAGAAAAAAAAAAAGCACATGGATACCATTGTATTTTACCATATATTTAGTTTTATAGTCATGCTCACACAACAGCGTATCTAGTTTTATTTGTGGTACTTTTCACAGAATCACAGAATCACAAGGTTGGAAATGACCTGCAAGATCATCCAGTCCAACCACCCTCCCATTCCTATCAGTGCCACAAGCACTAAACCATCTCTCGTAGCTCCTCATCCAGGCGCCTCTTGAACACTGCCAGGGATGGCAACTCCACCACCTCCCTGGGCAGCCATTCCAGTGCCTGACCACCCTTTGAGAGAAAAAGTTTCTCCTAATATCCAACCTAAACCTCCTCTGGTACAACTTCTTGCCATTTCCTCGGGTCCTACTATTTGCCTGGGAGAAGAGGCCAGATCCTTTTGCACCACAATCTCCCTTCAGGAAGTTGTACAGTGCAATGAGGAGCAGCCAATATTGGAAAGGAGAATAGCAAACATTTCTGATAATTACCTAGAAACTTATTAAAGTACAGCATAATTACTAAATAAGTAAACACTGCCTCTGTCATGTGCTGCAAATTACTTCAAGTATATCATTAAATCCAGTTTCCCATTGTATTCTGACCTTTGACTTCAAATACTTAGTTCATTCACTTGTAGTTCAGTAAGGCTACTTTTCAACTACATTTCAGTAACAATCATAGCATTCCATCCTCCACCAAGATTCACAGGAAGTTGTACATCTGTTTCTAAGGGAAGTTATGTTTTCACTCACATTCAGGTTTGAGCAAAACCTACTCAGTAATTTCAGTTCTGATGCGGTGGGATCTAAAACGGTATGTGGGAGCCTATTAATGTCTGGGGAAAGTAATTGCCTGAATACTGAAATCCAATTAAGCATTCATATTTTTAGAGAAATTAGTATTAAGAATGAGAACTGTCAGACTGAAGAAAAAGTTAAAAATATAACACAAATAGCACATACTACTGCAAACTGTAACCTACCTATTTTAGTTTACTTTCAATTTAATAAATAAATGCTAAAGCATAAGTAATTAGTGAAGGTATGAGTTTCTACAGCCATTTTTAACTTGACAGGTAAGCATGACACAGCAGTGTATGCTAGAACTACAACTGCTTCACTTGGACTGCTGTTACAGTGTCATAATCATGAATGCATCTCTATATTACCCCCCTTCTTCCCCATTCTTTCATACCTCTAGCTTAAGTCCAGTCAAATAAATAAATAACCTAGCAAACATCCCAAAAAATCACATTTATACCATTAGTCACCTTCAATTAAATAATACCGTTCATGTACTAATAAGACAAACTCTAGCTAACTGGAACAGGTTGCCCAAGGAGGTTGTGGATGCCCCATCCCTGCAGGCATTCAAGGCCAGGCTGGATGTGGCTCTGGGCAGCCTGGTCTGCTGGTTGGTGACCCTGCACATAGCAGGGGGTTGAAACTTAATGATCATTGTGGTCCTTTTCAACCCAGGCCATTCTGTGATTCTGTTGCTATGATTCTAACACTGGGTAACATAGAAAGCAATCCTTACTGAAGTACTAAAGTAAATACTTCATTGAATGCTAGCAACAAGGTGTGGAGGGATGGTGAGGACATTTCAGAGCTTTGTAAGGCAATCACCTTTTGCTGATTAATAAGCATTAGAATTTCTTCAAGTAAATCTCTTCACCCTTGAACTGCAAAATGTTACTTGTGAATGCTTTCAGAGTTGAACATTGGAAGAAACAAAGAAAACAAGCTGAACGCTTTTTTTTTCTGTTGTTTAAAAATAGATTTAGTAAAGTTTCAAGTTAAAAAACCTTCACATCTACATAACGTAGTTGCTTACAAAAGTTACTCTGAGAATTAAATTTCACAGCTCTTAAATAACACCCTAAATTCTACTTTTATCATCCTTTTTACACTCACAGTTTCACACTAACTGGCAAGATAGTTACTGGACACTGGTGCAAGTGTCACACATGAGGCTGAGAAGTCTGCTTATACTTCACAGTGTAAGTTCAAATCCCTCCAAGACTCATGATTAGTTTGGTTCTGATCTCTCCCATTTCTTGTTTCAACTGCATCATCATTAGCTATCCTTACTCATTCTCAACATGTCCTTTTTCTGCACTGAAAACAATTAAAATCCCCCTCATCACTTGCATTAATACTTCAATATTAGCTTGGAAAAAACTTGAGCAAAATCCATAGATGCATTGAATCCCAGTCTGTAAACTACATCATCATGCATTTCCATTGATTCGCTTCTGAACTCCTAAAAAAAAATGCCAACTTCAAAACTTCCACATGGATTTTCTTTTGGAAGAGATGCAGTTGTGTTTTAAAAGAAAAAATAATTAAAATCAAACTCACCATAATAATCTTCCTTTTTGTTTTACTTACAGTAATAACAAGAAATTTTTACATGCTTTCTACATATTACATATATTTTTCCAGCCTCAGTCTTCTTTGTTATTTTACACAGATGATACAGACTTGATTTATGGCATTAATAAGGTGTAAAATAAAGGCACTTTGCCTTATTTGAAACCAGCTGCCCAACCCACCTACCTGTTGCAACCATAGAGCTAGTGACAACACTGCTGACCTATCACCCAGCTGGTCTAGAAAACCATCTCAGATCTCACTTGAATCCTATTTAGTATTTATGTACTTAGGCTTTTATTTGTTTTTATAAACTATTCTGTTCCGACAAGTCACTGTAAGGAAAGATACATAAAGATTATCTAGGTGGAATTATCTCTATAAAATCTAGAAACAAATCTATTGTTTTATTACTTTATTATAATTTTCTTCACAGAAGATTCCACATCACGAGCATCACAACACATTACTTGAAAAACCAAAAGATGTTTCAGAAGTCAAAACATCAGAAAAAACCCTCATATCATAGATACATCTATTACGTTAGACACACGAAGATGCATTTATTGGAACAAATTCAAGAAAGCCTGATATGCTTACCTTTGAGAGTTCCATTCCTGGTCCACACTGTTTGCAGAGAATACAGTTCCCAGTATGGTCTCTAAATTCTTGTTCTCTGCAGTCTCCAGTCTCACAAATTACCCTACTTAGCTATGGAAAAAAAAAAAAAAAAAAAAAAAAAAAAAGGAAGAAAAAAGATTAACTTTATTTCTGATTTATATGTAATTTATACAAGCTTTAAGAGAAATCACATTTTTATCTTTAAAAATGATTGTCTGCATTATGAGGAATACCATAAGCACTACCATCAGCCATGCAAAGGCTCAGTATAGTTAACTGAATCCTAGCCAGAAACATTATCAAACATGAGTGCTCTCAAGAGAACTTCAAATCAATGTCTACAGACTTCTATCACAGAAAGTGCTTTACACAATTGCTCCCAAATTCTTTGTGTATTAGTCCTTTCAGAAAGGTCAAAACTTTTCTGATAGCAATGAAGCATTAATTACCCTTAGTTTCAGAGCTTGGCTCTGCAGGTCAGTTGAGGTATGCCTACAAGTGAATATAATTGCATGCCATGCTAATATTATATGGATAAAATGGACACTTCAAACTCCTGAACTATATACCCACACAGCATAGTGTACTAAGAGATTGACATTGAAATAGCAGTACCAAGAAATGACACAAAGTAGATGACCAAGCTCACATTAAAATTGAAAAAATTATTTCATAGTTGTTTAAATAGGTTTGAGTCTTCCAGACTTAGTGGTTGCACACAGAAGACACCACTCCTGTGTCTGACATAATCATTTATTTCAACATTCATCTTGGAATAAAGCTGGCTTACATACTTACCAAATATGCTAGTAAGATTATAAGCATCTTCAATTTGTCTTCTCCTTGAAATCCTTTAGGTTCCATTTCTTACAACTAAATCTTCACTCCCCACAAAAAAAAAAAAAAAAAAAAAAAAGAGGAAAAAAAATAGTATTTCACTGTTTGTTGTTTAAATTTAGATCAAGCATACATCTTCTAGCTTAGCTATCTATTCATTGTGTTAAAATGCTTCTGATATTCAAGGAAGCTAAGTAACCTAACACAAACACATACAAATATACCTTCAATGTTAATAAATAAGCACACAATAAAATTAGCTAACAGAATTATGATGTTTCTGTAATAAAATGTTGTCTTTTTTAAGAAGATGCATGAAGTTTCTGTAGCCTTAATTCTTAAAATTCAGAGACTGCTACCGGTCCAGATCAGACAACTTCAACATCTGCAGACCCAGTACCTCCTAACATCTGATGTTGACCCCTAACATATCTTGTTTGCTTGCCAGACACCAGCTTAGCATGGGGTCAACCAAAAATAATTTTCTCCAAACATGCCACTTATCAGTCAGGATGCAGCTGATCACGCACATGTTCCTTCACACAGCTGATCACATGGTGTAATGTGGAGCAAAATGGGCATTGCAATGAAGGGGAGGCAAACCTAGGCTTTGTTTCTACTCCTCACCAACAGAAATCAACTTCTTAAAATGTGTTAATGATCATTTAAGATCAGGTAGGCAAAGACTGTTATGCAAGGCATTTCAAACAGCATAACCAAATCACATCCTACCTACCTCAGGAAAAGGAAGCCTATAAAGCTTTGCTTAATTAATTTAAGAAGCTCTAATGAGCAAATGATTAAATAAATAAATAAAGGGAAACAATCTGAAACTGCCACAGAAATGTGGGTTAGGTTTCCTGGATTATTAGACCAATAAACCATTAGTCTACGCCATGTGCCTACAATCATTCACAAGTCGTACGTGGCCAATAGAAAGTTTCTTCTCACTTCACTTTTATTTGAGTTTACGTTCATTTCCAGGTTTTTTTGGTCACTAGACTAGAAATAGCATAGCATTTCATGCAGAAATCCATGCTGTACAGCAACAAGAAGAGAATAGTAAGTATATTTAGCCCATGTACTATTATATTTGAATGTGACCCTAGCTTGCATATATGATAGTAATAGATTATGTTTCGCCTAGATTATGTGAAAAATAATGCTTAAGTATTACAGGTCTACTTCAAAACTTAAGGAGTAGTGTTTAATTATGTTTTTAATATGTAAGATTATAAAAATTTATCATGTAGGAGTAGAAGATGTTGGCAAATGAAAGGATGGAACCCAAGCATAAGAAAAGAATAAAGAAAAAGATTAAGAACAGCTTTGAAGTGTTTTATGATATGGAACTATGACAAGCATAACACACATAAGAAAATGCAACAATCATAATGAGAACAAGTCAAGTATTATAAAAGTGCTACATCAAGTGTTACAACACTCGGTTTCATGTTTCCCAGCATGAAAAGCCTAGTTAACAAATTCTAATGAATAAGAAGGAAGCGTACATCAATGGCACTGTTGATGTATTTTAAGGTTCAAAATTTTATTTTGAAATTTATATATGAATAATTATTTATTTAAAAAAATAATAATAATTAAAGTCTGCCCAGGAAGGACAGAGCAGGCAGAGAGGTGCAGTCAGGCACTCCACAGCAAAGCCGAGATTCCATTCTTACTGTTCTTCCTCTCCTAGCAATGGTACCAGTCTATGCGTCAATAACATTTATCAGATTACATGCATGTCAACATGGGTAAAAAGACAACAGAACTACAAGTAGGTACAGCATGCTCTAGAGGTTGCTTCTTCAAGTCTGAAGGATAATACAGTTCACAGTTCCTTCAGCCTCTCCTTGTAAGGCATATTCTCCAAGCCCTTCACAAGCCTTGTTGCCCTTCTTTGGACCTGCTCCAGCACCTCCATGTCCTTTCTGTACTGAGGTGCCCAAAACTGAACACAGCACTCGAGGTGAGGCCTCACCAGTGCCGAATACAGGGGCAGGATGACTTCCCTAGTCCTGCTCACCACACCATTCCTGATGCAAGCCAGGATGCCATTGGCCTTCTTGGCCACCTGGGCACACTGCTGGCTCATATTCAGTCGACTGTCCATCAGTACCAAGGTCCCTTTCCACCAGGCAGCTTTCCAGCCACTCCTCCCCAAGCCTGTGGGGTTGCCTGGGGTTGTTGTGACCAAAATGCAGGACCCAACACTTGGCCCTACTGAAACTCATGCAGTTTGCCTTGGCCCATCGATCCAGTCTATCCAGGTCCCTCTGTAGTGCCCTTCTCCCCTTAGGTAGATCAATGCTCCCTCCCAGCTGAAGTCAAACTAAATTAGACCAAAGACAAATTGTGAGACTTTTAGTGACCTGGAAAAATCAGGGAAGACTTAAGTATTACTTCCAGCATCATTCTTTGAACTAAAGAAATTCTTATTGGCTTCTTGATGCCACATGTTAGTATTCAATAAGGAAAAAAAGGACTATAGAAAGCAGAGCTTCGTGTGGTTGTGCAATCAAAACGAAGTTGTAAACATAACTGAGTTGCTTAGGTGGACTATCAAGTGAACATTCTAAGCTGAATGAGATGACGTTATTTCTTTAACAGTAATTTTAAGGAATATAAAACATAACAGCTCTGATTTAATTATGTTCATTTGTATAATACTACAAAAAAAATTAAAAATGAATTCTTTATAGCACTGAAGCATGTTTCATTTTAAATTCAAATATTTACTTGTAGGAATAGTGTGTGACATAAAATAAAAAAAGTATTACAACAACTGTATATGTTTATGTCAAGTTGCATACAGTATTATCAACACAAATAGCATCACTGAGCTGCAGTAAGCCTGCTGATCTAAAATATGAAGCCATGGCAAAATCTGAACAGTCTGTAATGTACTTCAAGTCACTTGAAGGATGGAAAAAAAGGAAACTGAGAACAGCCTGATTTACTGGCCAGGAGATTCATTACTCGCCATATTACTGCAATTAAAATGTATTAGCCTTATGTAATGAAGCTACATTCATCCTAGACATTTTTCTAATGTGTGATTAACTGAACATTTAATATTTTAATAAAGTTTCTTAGCATGCAGGCTATTTATTAAAGATCAATATTGAAACAAGCAAACGATGCATTTTTATGTTTGTAATATTCTGTTCCAGAGTTGGATTATAAAACAGATGTTATCCTGTACCACCTTCTATTAAGAAGTGACAAGTTGGTCACACTGATATTTAATCATTTCTGTATGACAGCTTCTGAAGTTGTCATACCAGTTATAAATAATCTTATTATAGCATTTATCTCAAAGATTTAAGACATAGAATGCATATGGAGAAGCACACTGTACTAAAACATATTTTCTTGATTTAGGTGTGGAAATTTTATTGCAGCTCTGAAATATTTTCCATTGAAAAGAAAAATCTACTGCCTTTATAACACTTGTCAAATCCAACACCTTCAATCATCAAGAGTTCCAAAACCCAGAGGAAACTTCCAAAAATCAAGCATTTAAGAACTGGCTTCAAACTCTCACAGACTTCTCCAACTCATCTACAAAGCTTAGCGTGCTTCAAATTTGTTGACTGATCACAGAGTGCAATCCCACAGCATTCAGTCTGTGATACAAGATATCTTTCAAAAAATACGCAATCAAGTCTTTCAAATACGGTTACAGAACTCAGGGCCTTAAACTTCATTAGGTTTAGTAGCTCTGAAACACGTTCAAATCATTTCAGTAAATATGTATGTATGCCAGTGGTATTATATCATGGAAGTGCTGATAAGAAATAACACACACAAAAAAACCAAACCACCCAGAAGGACAATATATTGGCTATGACATATGAAAAACAAACAAGCCTGTATATATAAAGAAAACTCTCAGTTAAGGATATGGAAAAAGTTACTTTTCATGATAACACTTCAATAAAAAAATAATACAAATGGTTAAGACACATTAATAAATCACTGTATTGAAAGCAAGTCCCCAAGGAGACATAACTCTGCCAGCTGCTTGTTTCCTGTTTCTGCCTTCATTTTTGCTATAAGCCCCAACTGAAAAGCAGATGCTGCAGCACTTAATAGCAGTTTGCCAATGGGTAAATTTGTTCTCTCCTAATGCCAATTGTCAGTATACTGATGTAAGTTGGACAAAAGCTATTCATTTGTATTCAACTAAATAGCAACGAGAATGTTTTGCCTCTAAGATACTCACAATCAACATATTGAAGTCAATACATTGAACCCCCATTAAGAGGTTGTATAGTTACAAGACTGTGCGGGGGCTACTATGCATTTGTATAATGAGGACAATATCAAACCAAAAGTTAATAACATGCAATAAATGAATCACAGAAATAAGAACTTCAGCCTCCCAGGATCCTACAACGCACCATCTTCCAAAATGTACGCCTACATTACTGCTCAAGCAAATGAAATGGAGTGGTGATCTACTCAAAGCCTACTTACCAAAGAACATTTCCTCCTCCTCTACGGAAAAAGAGCAAAAAACCATGAAAAAAGACCATGAAAGACACATCACCTCAAGACTCAAGGCAGCAAGATTACATTGTAGCCTACCAGCAGGTTTCTTATGCATATAGGCATGGAAACTGAAGTCACTACCCTCTACCTTGTAAGGGAACCTTTGTAATGGGTGAAGAGTCCCAACTTTGAATTTGCTTAAATTACCTAGATCTACCAACTACCTTAACTGATTTGACATTCACATTTGACCGCCACTTTTCATGCTTTCCATAACACTGACAAAGAATGCTCTATTTAGTTCTGGATAAGAAAGAGGACTGAAAATATAATCATGTAATCTTGCCAACAGAGGTCTCTGGCATGCGATGAATAGGATCTCTGCTCCCTTCTAACCACCCTGCTTCCCACCTGCAGCTGTCAACTTCATGCAATAAAATGACAAGGATGGCTTTAGCAGAGTCAGTGCCCCACGGGCAAGAAACTAGAGAAGGGAAAGTACTTACGCTGCTGAAATGATAGAGACAAAGGGAACAAGCCAG